TCAGTCGAGATGGGAGCTCTACCTACAGCATGTTCCAATGGTGGAACAGCTAGCAGTTACTTAGCTGAGCGAGCAACACCCTTAGTTCTCAAACGAGAGGAGGCTCGACCTGCAACATGTTCCAAAGCTGGAACAGCTAGCAATAATTTACTTAGCTGAAGGAGCAACACACCCAGTTCTCAGTCGAGATGGGAGCTCTACCTACAGCATGTTCCAATGCTGGAACGGCTAGCAGTAGTTTACCTTAGCTGAGGGAGCACAAACCCAGCTCTCAATGAGAGGGGGCTCGACCTACAGCGCGATTGTAGAATCAGAAGGGTAAGCGTACTGCAAGCTAGCAAAACACTCAGCACATCAGAGAGGCAGAGGAAGGGCCTAATTCACCTGATGCTACTGGTTCCAGGTGCTCTGGAAAAACAGAGAACTCAACTTCTCATGTGAGAGGAGAACTCCAAATTCAGAGGAGTAGTGTGCTCATTCCAGGTAACCCTTCGATAAAAGGGGAGCACTGCTCAACACTACCACGAGAACAGCCCATGGAGCGAGAAATCCAACTCCTCAGAGAGAATTAAATGCTCGAAAAGCACCATACTCACAATAACCCTCAATGGTGAGGGGAGTGATGCTTCCAGAGTGTGTCAACAGAGACACCCTAGATGAGTGGAGCCCAAGGTACCGGGGTCTAAACCAACCCAGAGAAAGGGAACGAGGTTAATAACGCGTAACCCTTACCATACAGGATTTCAGAAAAGTGGGCAAAGCATAACGTGCACACTTACCAGCTATGTGGATTTTAGAAAGTGTGCAAAGCATAACGTGCACTTACCACTTATGTGGATTTTTAGAAAGTGCGCAAAGCTTAACGTGTGCACTTACCATATTATGGATTTAAGAGTTTTCCAAGCATCTGCGCACAGATACCCGGAAGTACTGGGCCAAATGGGAGAGGCAAGCTCAAATACAACCCTCTAAGGTGAGGGGAGCACTGCCTGAGACAGCATTACACGAGAAGGTTCTCGCAAATGCCACCTATATTTCCCGCTCGATGCTTCAGCAAGAGGGGATATCCTGGTGATCGGGAGGCCCCTCAGGGCGACCTAGATACGGTATATCAGACAGGGCAGCACAACCCTCTAAGGTGAGGGGAGCACTGCCTGAGACAGCATTACACGAGAAGGTTCTCGCAAATGCCACCTATATTTCCCGCTCGATGCTTCAGCAAGAGGGGATATCCTGGTGATCGGGAGGCCCCTCAGGGCGACCTAGATACGGTATATCAGACAGGGCAGCATGAAAGCATAAGCCCAGCCCGGATGTCCAGGAAATTTTTGCAGTGCCGTGCCGGGGGCCTGATGATCAAGAAGGCTCCCGCAGAAGCCTGTGACCTGGGCGCATGATCCAGGAAGTATGAAACCGAAACCTGGCTTATCGTACCATCTGGACCTATATCAACGAGTGAAATAAACACTGCAAGTCGAGCACCCAGTTTCTGAATCCAGCCAAGGAGGTGCTCACCGAGGACCTACCCTAGAAAAGGACAGAAACACACAGGTCCCGGGAAACACTGCAAAGAAAGCTAGCAGAAGGGTTATACACACAACCACCAGCGCCTTCAATACACACACACACATATATATACAGTATATATAAATATATATATATATAGAAATGGATCGTACTCACCCACCATGGTTCCCGCGTCAGAGCCCCGTCTGAAGAAGCCTGTGGTCCGGACCATAAGTAAGGTGGTCATTATGAAGCCATAGAACCAACCAAACATCAAGGTCCAGCATAGGAGACTGTAATGCAGGAAAATTTCCACTTAACCTCGGTCAGGTGGAGAGGTGGTGGTTACAGGGGAATTAGGAATGGGAAGATAAGGGCAGATGTAAGACCCCCCAAGGAAATGATTAGATATTGAGGTATCACTCTGATCAGGACAAAAGCGATGATGCCCTGTCTGGATGACATCCCTTAGGTCTTTACCTACCTTCCTTTGACCCGCGATTCTTCCTACCCCTACCCGTCGCTGGCTCCTTGTCTGGATCACATCCCTTAGATCTTGCCTACCTCCCTTTGACTCGCGATTCTTCCTACCCCTTCCCGCAGGCGGGGGAGGAGCGCGAGTCGTGACACTAGCCTTCTGTGCTCGTCTCTGATCCTCAATTACACCCTCAGGCTTGCAGAACAACAAACCTAAAGAACAGGGATAACGTGATTCAATCTATACAGCGAGACCATCTAAGAACTCAAACACTTCAGTTGAACCTTCGCGATCTTCAAAGATCTTAAAGTCTTGCAAACTCAGACTTTAGCAGGACTGCTCAAGCTTCTGGCGTCATCAAGAGACCAACCAATCCAACAAGGGATCTCCCAAAAGGATGTCATCCAAACGTCATTCCGGCACCAAAGCGACCAACCAATCAGCAACGGAATTTCCCTCCAGCAGCCAAACCAAAAACCTCTCAACAACTCAGCTGTCACCAAAGCAAAACGGAAGTAAACGAACAAAATCTTATCTCTGTTGAACTGGTGTCGAGCTAATTTAAGCAGTAAACATAAGCCAAATATCTGCTTTGTGAATTCTCTCAGGTGAATTTAAAACCACTCGTGAAAACGAGTTAGAACTTTGAAAACTTCATGCAACTCCGTTAACTCATCTCATTCTAATAATCTGTATGTATGTGTGTGTATGTATGTGGGTTTTAGCTTAGTTTGAATCTAGAATAGCCAATAAAATTAATGTTTCATTTATAAAGAATCATTGTCTGGTGTCATATAATTTTAAGGTTAAAACCTTTGCCAAAGATCACATTACCTAGCTCGTAGCTTACTTATAAACAGTGGTGGAAAGAGTACTGAAAAAATATACTCAAGTAAAAGTACCATTACCTTCCAAAAAATGTAGTGTGAGTAGAGTAAAAGTACTTGTCCTTTTTTATGCTGATCATACAATTTGTAAGGAAAAATGCATTTTAAATCGCTAAGTATTTCTGTGGAAACTTTGTCAAAGGAAAACACACACACACACACGCATGTCTCTTTGCTGAGCCGCGGCGGTCTCGGTGAATCAGCAGCATCCACAACTGAATGGAACAAAAAGTGTTGAACTTGAAAATAGTTAATGCGCGAGTGCACTTGCTAAATGAAGGCGGATTGTATAAAATGGATTAAAAAATCTAAATAAAAAAAAAAAAAAGTTTATTAACGAGCTGCAGTTTTATTACATCACACAAACACTCATGCAGTGTGTGTTTCATTCATACTCGAAGCCGGAGGCACTCTCCGCAGAAAGTCGTACCAGGAAATCCCTAATATGGACAAAAGCGTCCAGCTCTCGCTGTATGAAAACAGTTGTTTTCACAGAAAAACAGAAACGTTTGGAAGCATGAAGACATTAAACATACGATTGCGACAATATATGGTTTATTTGTGTTTGTTAAGTTATCTCCAGGTAATAAATAAAGTATATGAACAATGCAGTGCTAACTAACATAGCATTTATTACAGTATAGAAACTATTCTGCCTTATTATGTGATAAAAAAGTGTTTGTAGTATAGAAGCAAATCATTATTATTGGTTATTGTCCAGCAGTTATCTGATTTCTAAGCCAATTAAAAGGTAGAAATTAGAGTTGACTATACACTACGAGTCAAAAGTTTTTGACCACTTGATTACTTATATGACGTATTTGCTGTATTTGGCCGAAGTCTTCAAGTGGATGTGAAGACCACAAGTGTGTGTCAAACTTTTCATTACTTGATGGGACACACTTATACTGTTGTAAAAATGCAAGTGTTTACACAGCTTTATTTTAATTTGACATACTTTGCATTTTAAAATCAACTTCTAAATGTCTGTTCAGTAGTCCCTATAAAATGACTGTAGTAAAGGTTCAAGAGTGTGGAAGGAAGAAGGCAGGGTCGGCTTGCTGGGAAGCGAGCTTTATTTAAATTTCTCTTGCACCGCACACAATACGGCGCTCCTTCAGCGCTGTCAGACTTGCAGTCAATAACTCATAACAAACATAACACAACTTGCTTCCGTGTATCTACACCCGTCTCCCCGGGTGGCTCGCGTTCCCAGTCAGTCTCTCTCTCTCCCATCATGTTCCAGGTGGCCCCTTTTATCCGGTCTGTCCACACCAATTACTGAAACAAGACAGGTGTTTATCATTTGCGCTTGACCTACTTACGCACCACTCGTCTCCTGCCTCTCTCTCGATGCAGACCTCGCTGAACCACGCCCCCCTCGCCACAATGACAATTTTAATTTGTGGTGCTTCTAATTAAGTGATGAAAAGCAGTTGCAAATGTTGTACAAAATAAATATCACCACTACTCATCTTTGCACCAATAAAAGTAAAAATAACAGTTTTTCTACCAAATTATTTGTAATATCTAATTATTATATTAATATTTAACTTACATTGGAAAGGTTTCCGTGACCTCTTGCGAAATCTCGGCAAAAAGTCTCACGATTTATTTCCAGAACATGATGCATGATGGGATACACTTAGCCTTGAATAGCGCTCTGGAGCGGTATTCGAGATAGTGTGGATTTAGTATCCATTAAGGGCACTGCACTTTGGCATTTTGAAGACATGGGACAGACTTACTTCCTGTCGCGCGCACACGCTCTCAAGTGGCCAAGACCACAAGTGTGGGTATTTGGACAAGGGGTCTGCTTTCCAGTTTGCCTGTGTTCCCTCATTTGTTTCTATGGTTTTTGATTTGTTAACTAGTTCCACACACCTGCTCTCCTTAATTACCCTGTTCTTGTATTTAAGCCTGTCTGTTCATCAGTTCATCGTCTGCTATTATTTGGATTTATGTTGCTGAGCATTTGAGACTGTTTGTTTATGGACTTGTAGATATTCTCCTTTATTTATGATTAAAAACTCCTTTTGAACTTTACTCCTTCTTCGAGCGCTTGATTACTTAGCCAGCACGCCTAACACAAAGTACTGTGCATATGAATAAATTGTGCCTAAGTATACTATTTCTTCACTAGGGTAGGTATGTTTTTTTATTCTTTCAAATTAAAGAATACTTTTTTGATTAAGTAATTGCAGCCTTGGTGAGCATAAGAGACATTTAAAAATATTACCGACCACAAACTTGTGAAAGGTAGCATAGTCATAAAAATTTTTAGCAAAAGAACAACATTTAGGCCTAGGGCTGTAATGTGATGTGGTTTTGGACAGGCATTACAAACACCTATTTCTTGGGGTCGTATTTGCAGTAATGACTGGTTGACTGTGTAGTAAATCAGCTCAACAGGGAAATATTTATGACTAATTATAACTGGTTATGATTAATAATAAATATTTAGATTATATCTTCGAATTAACTGTAGCAGAATCAATATTACAATTATTTGATCTGTTCGTCCACCGAGCAGACAATATAATAATTTATCAATTCAAGGAAAGATTATTTTCCTGGCCAAGGAAGAATAACTGTCCTTCTTTATGCAGTGCTAGTCATAATTTAGCATATGTAGCAAGGGTTCAAAACATTAATTGACTTCGAATTGTGAGCAGCAAACAGAGGCAATCGATCATGAATATAAGGGATTTAATAAATGAAACTATATCTAACATAACTAACTAAGCAAAACACATATATACAGAATGAAACAAAGGAAAAGAGAGAAAAGTAAAATAATGGCAGTATTTCACATCAACCTTAAACACAACCTATTGAGAACTTGCATTGGTTTCGATTGCTGAACAAGAGTCCTGATGCGGTAGACAACGGAGGTCTTTGATGAGTTCCTGGAGTGAGCTGGAAGTTTACTTCTGGTTCTTCTGAAGATAGGAAAAGTCCACAGCGAATCGAAGTTACTTGAAAATAAAAAACTGCCGGAAAACAAACTCAAGAGAATCTCAAGAAGTCTTGAGAGTTTTGGAAAGTGTCATCTCAAAAGAAGAGGGTTTTCTGAGCAAAAATCATTTCGGGCTAATCACTTTTGAGGGTTCCTCTTTACCCCCCGACTTTGGGTGGGCTAGCCAATACCAGGCGTGAATTTTTGAGCGGGAGAAGTTTCCTTTGTCTCACTTTATGGTCCATTTGCATGTTTTATGGCCGGTCTGGAATTGGTGCAGTTTTAACCCAAAATATAGTACAAATCGTATGATGCGTTTCACAATCACATACTGTACATCATTGTTTGAGGAATAAAGAGCAGATAATATTGATACCAAGAAAGAAACATTTAGAATAGATTAAACCAAAGATACATACATACACCTGAATATCAGTGTTTAGGGCTTTAACTAATACAAATAACAAGTGGTAACTCAGCTAATCTAATAGGGAAACGTACAAACAACACGTGCAATATACCAGATATATTTGTAACTGCTCAATTATTGTCTAAATAGAGTAGATAAAGTCTGTGACCAGTACTGTAATTTATATGCAAATGTCAAAGGCTAAAAGGGTCTCTTAAGCCATAAAACCCCAAAAATCATGCATGATTCTACGCAGACGCTACAACTGTATGTATTCATTTATTTATTCATCCAGCCATGGATGCTGAAATCATTCTAGACTGGTCGTAAGCAAACATGTCTTCAAAGGCTCTCTCAGAGCCACTTGTAAATAAAGCTGTTTCATTTGCATTTCAAAGCAAAACCTATGCATTAGGGCTGGGCAGAAAAATCGATTTTTCAATTGATCATTTTTTTAAATGACATCGATTCGATATTGATTCTCAAGAGCCGCGAATTGATCTTTTCTGGTATTTATTTCTGCACACATTTAAAACAAGATCTGATTAACGTGAGTCTTATCATTAGTCTTCTCCACTAGATGTCACCCTTATTGACCGTGGGCGATGTTACAACAGAAAGCCTGTCATTCATTCAGCGCTTATCATGGCCATACGCGTGATTCACAATGCTCAGGTGAAATGCTATAGTAATACTATAAATCTGCAGAAGCATTTATCACGCATACGGTGCCATGATTTTAGCAATGAGTGAATGGCGGATGGCGTGGCGCACAGTTTTGTTTACTACACACATACTAAATCGCGGATGACGCTCGCGGTGTTTTCAGCTTCTGCCATCTGTAAGAAATTAGTCTGCCTCGACCAAACTTCCACTCCAATTAAACTATTCTCCTTTTTCTACAAAGAGCTTAATTATCATAGAGATAATTCTTTCAATAATATGTAAATAGTATCTCCTGAACGTTACTTCATCAATCGTCACCTATAGCGTGGGAGCGGCAGTAGGCCATCAAGAACCATCTGCTGACCAAAAGGGTACTTGAATATAATTGCACCTTAACATTTGGTTGTTTCCACCTGAAAGACTACCAAAGATGTGGGAATGGAACAACTTTCATTGTTATCCGCAATTTACATTTAAGACGAAACTTCATTTACATGCGGGAAGATGAACGTAATAGAGTATAAAATGTTTGAGCTTAGGATGTTCGTGGTTCATTCTGACTCCGTTGAACCCAAGGTACTACATGTACTTTGTCACTGCTATGCTGCAATAAACATCTTCATCAAAATCTTCAGCGTCCTCATCATTTTTCTTACATTGGCGAGCCACCCAGCGCAGGAGTTTCCACAAAGCAGGAAAAAAGGTTAGAAAAGCGGTTTCTTTCTTTTTGCTGGTTTTGTCAGGGAATCGCCTCATTTAAAAAAATCTAGAAAAGAAATTGCAAGGATAGAAGAGAATCTATTCAGTATTAGCAGGAGGAGTTCTTAAGCCTATTCGGTACAATTCTGTTTAAAATTCTAACGGAACTGAATTAACCCGACGTAGTATGGTGGCAGAGCTCTATTGGAATCGTTGTTTCTAAAGTAACTGAAGCAAAGTGCTTAAGTTTAAAGTTTCTAAAGTAACTGAAACTTGTTGTTGGTCTCTTATAATTCTGTTAAGATTCTAAAGTAATTGAATCAACCCGACGCAGTGTGGTGGCAGAGTTGTATTAGATCTGTTGTGTCTGAAGTTGTAAGTTTCTAACGTAATTGAAACTGACTGTGAAGATGTTATAATTCTGACTGAATTCTAAAGTAACTGAATTGATCTGACGTAGTGTGGTGACAGAGCTGTATTGGAATCATTGTTTCTAAAGTAATTGAAGCAAAGTGCTTAAGTTTAAAGTTTCTAAAGTAACTGAAACTTGTTGTTGGTCTCTTATAATTCTGTTAAGATTCTAAAGTAATCGAATCAAACCGACGCAGTGTGGTGGCAGAGTTGTATTAGATGTGTTGTGTCTGAAGTTGTACATTTCTAACGTAATTGAAACTGACTGTGAAGATGTTATAATTCTGACTGAATTCTAAAGTAACTGAATTGATCTGACGTAGTGTGATCACAGAATTATTTCATGATAGTTGTGTTATAGTATAGTGAGTCCTGTTTTAATCTGATAAATATTAGTTTGAGCCCGAGGAACTGTGGCTGAGAACTGAGAACTGTTTGAGAAAATATATATAAAAAGAAAAAACACAGACTGTAACACCAAGCCAGCAGAGGGAGTCCTCGCCCGAGTACTGACCGTGCTCCACTCCCTCTGCTTCCTCTGCTTTCACTTCCTGTTTGACTCTGTCCGATGTACTGTGAAAAACATTGTTGTTGTTTTTTTTAAACGGTTGCAGAAGTTGAGACTGTAAGTGCTTGTTTTGCCTGAAGTGTAAGACATTTGTTATAATTCTGTTAAGATTCTAAAGTAATTGAATCAGCCTGACGTAGTGTGGTAGCAAAGTTGTATTAGACCTATTGTTTCTAAAGTAACTGAAACTGAGTGAGTTGTGATCATTCTGATGAAATTCTAAAGTAACTGAATTGACCCGACGCAGTGTGGTCACAGAATTATTTCATAACTATGGTGTTTTTGTGTTGATTTGCCCGTTGTACTGTGGCTAAGTAAACTGGTTTAAAAATATAACACTGTTCAGTCAGTGAAGGAAAAGAAGCCTATTGAATTGCTGAACACACTTCATTAAGATTGGGAAAATGGCAGAGTTGATAGTTAAATACATCGCTAAGCACTGCTCAGTGGGAATGTTTAATGGGATAGAGAAGGCAGATGACCCCTACGAGTGGGCTATGTCTCAATTCAAAAATTGTCCCAAAATAGCTAAAAATAAAGAGGGAAAAGTTGCTAATGCACTTCAAGCTCTTTTTGCCTCATACAAGGTAACTTAGAAAAGATTAAAAGAAATTAAAACTGAAAACAAGTTGCTAAATTCTATGTCATGTCATTGAAAAATTGCGAGGCTGAAGAGATTATTTCAAAGGTGCAAGGAGAGAAGCTGTACTTAGACTTGCTGGGACTAATTTGGTTAACTTGAGAAAGATAACTGAGGTGACAATGGAAATTGGAGAACATCCTCTACCATTTGCATCCAGGTTGTGGGAAATGTTTAGCTGTTACAGTGGTTTGCCCAATGCAACTAAACAAAATCTCATGTTTAAGTCTGCATTAATTGCACAGAGTAGTTCACGCATGCGAGAAGCCATTGCTCTGCGTGTAGATGTAAATACACCATACGAGCAAATCATTTCCAAAATGACACAGCATTTCAGTGCAAGAAGTCAAATGAAAGCTGCAGAATCTAGACATCCAGTTGCTGCATTCGGCAGGAGAGAATGTTGTAGATTATCTAACGGTTTCCATCAGAGACCAAAGAGATTAGAGTAAATTCAGAAGGTGTTACTCTCTGTTATGCATGTGGAAATGCTGGTCACATTGTCAAGACAACGAGAGACCTCATCAAAGCTTTGTCTGTTATGCATGTGGAAAGGATGGTCACATAGCAAGGCATTGTTTAGAAATAGTTAGGAAAGATCAGGAAGTCGTTTGTTTTGCATGTGGAAGTTTGGGACACAAGGCAAGACAGTGTCACTTTTCACACAAAAGAAGGATGAGCTATCGTGATAGGCAGTTTAGAAACCCAGTTGGCACTGTTGAAAGGAAATAAGGAAGAAGCCGTTCACACCTTGCCAGACACAACACTGCATGAACAACATGACTGTAGCTCAGTCACAAGCAGATGCTGATGTGAATTGTAGGAATAGTTTTATGATAGTATTATATTTTAGAAAATGTTTACTATCAAAAGGGGGGGGTGATTCTTTATCATTTTTCAGGAAATGTGTTAATGGCATTCATATTTAAATTTAATGAGAAATGATTGAATTGCATTCTGCGATTAAATTTCTGTAGCTTTGGTTTTGAATGTGAAAAGATTATTGTGGGGGAAAGGGGGGGGAAGCCTCTTCTTTTTGATCTCGTTTCAGGTATAAGCATCGAGATGTTTGTTTGAAATGTGTACCCTCCTGGAAAAAGATGATCCGGTCATCTGAAGGACTTCAAGAAGGCCAGCAGGGCCAGTGGAGCCAGGGGACTTCCACAAGAGAAGGGACTTCTTAAAGAACAGCGTGATCATCAGAACTGGAAATCTAGAGATTTCCAGACCTACAAGATCCAGAACTCCAAGCTTAAAAGATCTAGAAACCCTGAGACCCACAATGGCATGGATGAACCTGATGGAACTTCACAAACTGCAACAACAGCTAGAAGGACTTTTCCAAATAGAAATGAATGGACAATGGAAAAGAGAAACAAAGAGATCAAACCATTTTCAGAGACTGTGGACAGCAGTCTTCTCACCAAGATGGAAAACAAGAAATGAGAAATGCACAAAGACAGACTCTATGCACATGACACCAGAAAGAGACAAACATATGCATACTCGAATGCAGAACATTGTCTACTGAATGCACACATGTGGACAAAGGACGTCCACACTGAGAGAATGGACACAATGCAAGTGACAAAACTCCATTTGGTTTATCTGTGAGTGTGATGCTTTGAAAAAACAACCCGTCAAAAAAGTTTAGTTTAACGTTAAGAAACTGTCAGAATATATTACTATTTAGCAGTCTTAAGACTCAATACTACTACTGCTAATAAATATTAATAAATCTTTATTTTTAAAGAAATAATCACATGTTTTCTTCTTAATTTTAACAGTGAACCTCTGTTGTGCAGCACTTTGTTTGCCAAAAAATAAAAGTTTTTAAAAAAAATTTTTAGGATAAATTAATGTATTATGCCTATATCTGATTACCAGAAAAATTAAGAACATTTTATAGGGCCCTATTATTGTTTAAAAAAGGACCCTATACCAAAAAAACGAATAGGTTTAAAATACAGGCATGTGGTTCTTAATTTCTTTTTATTAATTCACCATTTGTAAACTGAGGTTTACTGTTCATTTTTTAGAAATATCAGTAGCATTTGTATTAAAACTTTATTCACTGAATGTAATAAAAAAAATTGAGAATCGAATCGAGAGCTTGCAAATCAAATCAAATCGGGACATCTGAATCGATACCCAGCCCTACTACCCATGACATTCAGTCCATAATGTATTTACGTTCCACAATAGCTCTGTATCAAAACAAATGTGAGCTTCTGTACCTGACAGGCATTCTTATCAAGTCATCATAAATATATCATTCTGGCTCTTCCATGTTCCTTCCTCAATTTCTAATCATATCTTCATTCACACAGCTGCCATATCCCTATGGAAACACATAAAGATGTGTTTGTTCCAAACACATATGTAAATGTAGTGGGTGCTACACGTGTGTATTTGTTTCAGAACGAGGCCAGCGATTGGTTTTGAGCACAATGACTTAATTCCTCATTGCCTCTCATGAGCATTATTTCACAGCTTCACTTCTGACCCATTTTTCTACCCATTTCACAACAACTCTGTTTGGTGCTCATCTCTCTCTCTCTCTCTCTCCTCCTCCCCCCCTCTCTGTTTCTATATCAGAATTCAATGAGCAAACTGATGTTCTTAAAGGCTCATTCGCGAAAGATGGTACTTACGAGCTTCTCGCTGTCTGTCTTCAACTCATTCACCGCTTTCATATTGTGTTCTCGAGGTAGAAAACTTATGGTCATCGTTGTGAGGGATTTGCATTTCAGTCCTATTTTTCTGATATATTTTCCTCCCTCAAAGGCACGGTACTTTGATGTACCTCAAATCTCATTACTATGGGATCACTCAACTGCAGACGGTGATTTCCAGTGCTCTGCGGTGCGTTAGATGAGGTGATAAAGTGTGAAATCCCCGGTGAGCTAGTTCTGAATTAATAGAGAAGAGAAGACAAGAAGAGGGAGAGATACAGAGAAGCGAAGGGTTTAGGCTTAGTGCCATGCTGTGACGCATCTTCTGTCCAGGGTGTTGGGTTTACCGTGTTTAGCGGTAATTAGCATGCCGCAGCATGGCGTAGCATTACCTCCTGCCATCCGCTAGCTAAGCCCTCAACAAACAGAACCTTGTACAAAAAACAAAGTATCTTGTCTAGCCATGTGTGAAGATGGCAACACACAACCACTGATAAGCATCTTTAGCTAAGAGCTGGACTGAGACGACACTGTGGGAAGCATGTCATTGGAGCTTCCACAAAAGGAATAAACCATGGCTTCCTTACCAGAGGAAGTACATGGACTTAATACAGGCCTTGGGCGAATGGCGCTCTTATCCGGAGCGGTCACATAAGGGAAATGTTGCTGTAATGACTTTTGAAATGATAATTTGGTGACATTCTTGCCACAGTTTGGAGAATTTTGTCAAAGCCTCAGGACTCTTTAGAAGCCTCAGGACTCTTTAGATGTTATCCTCTGTTTTATATGAGGAATTTAACAAATTCATCATAGGTAATGCATTCTGGGAAGTGTAGTTGTCTTCCATGCTGGTTTAATATGATGAAATATATGTAAATTACATTCAAATGTATTTATTTGTCTCTTTATCTTTCTGTCTGTATATCTGTCAGGCTTCTAAAACTTTCAAACAAAGCTTTATCACACTAACCTTTAAAGTCTGCCTTAACAAACTTGCCTTTTTTCATTAAAAATTATACTTATTCAAGTCATTTCTATTCACTTAAAATCTATCTATTTTAATATTTCCTAAATTCAGTTGCAGTTCTGCATCCTGTTTTTTATGGCTCCAGGAACTATATATATATATATATATATATATACAGTGGGTACGGAAAGTATTCAGACCCCCTTACTTTCAGTTTTTCTTTTTTAATAAATCTGCATAAATGTCAACAATTCTGTGTTTTTCTGTCAATATGGGGTGCTGTGTGTACATTAATGAGGAAAAAAAATTAACTTAAATGATTTTAGCAAATGGCTGCAATATAACAAAGAGTGAAAAATTTAAGGGGGTCTGAATACTTTCCGTACCCACTGTATATACACACACACACACGCATATATATTGTGGGAAGTTGCCATCAGCTCATCATATGTTGCCCCTGGCAACACACACAAACCAGCTGAGGAGCAATCACCAAGCCCAGCTGATGGCAGTCAATCAATCTCCTAGACCAGGATAAAAATCTGTAACCACACACACACACACACACACGTGCCTGAGGGTACGTGCAGGAATGAGAAGGAATATCAATAGGGAAGGAGTGATAATGAGGTCTTAGTCAGAGTACTGCAGGCAATGGACTGAGGTACAGAAAAAATGTGTCT